TTGTTCTGATTCAAAGATTATACCGAAACAAAAATTTACAGAAATGAGTGGCAAAAGTTTTGCCTAGTTCCAAAGTAACTTTGGAATATTATAATATTCCTGGGTAACATGTATTGATGCATCAACAGATTGAGGATCTGTTTTTGTGTTTTCCTATTTAATTCATAGTTAATAATGTTTCATATAATGTCCATGATACTATTGATTAAGCACTTAGGGTTTTTCAACTTACTTCTCCTATTGGAACACTTTGAGAGGATTTGATCTCAGGTGACTTTCATTAGATTTTGAAATGTTAAAAATGATAATTTTTAGAAGAATCATAATTATTTTCCTTCTTGGAATGGTCTTATATTTCCTCATCCTCCAAATGCAGGGCTGCAGAAGTCATCAATATTGTCCTTCTTTGGAATGGTCTTATATTTCCTCATCCTCCAAATGCAGGGCTGCAGAAGTCATCAATATTATCCTTCTTTGGAATGGTCTTATATTTCCTCATCCTCCAAATGCAGGGCTGCAGAAGTCATCAATATTGTCCTTCTTTGGAATGGTCTGATATTTCCCCATTCTCCAAATCCAGGGCAGCAGATCTCATCTATATTTTCCTTCTTAGGAATGGTTTCATATTTCCCCATCCTCCAAATGCATGACTGCAGAACTCATCAATATTTTCCTTTCTTTGGAATGGTCTTATATTTCCTCATCCTTCAAATACAGAACTCTTTTTTATTATTTTCCTTCCTTGGAATGGTCTTATATTTCCCCATCCTCCAAATACAGAACTCTTCTATATTTTCCTTTCTTTGGAATGGTCTTATATTTCCTCATCCTCCAAATATAGAACTCTTCTATATTTTCCTTTCTTTGGAATGGTCTTATATTTCCTCATCCTCCAAATGCAGGGCTGCAGAAATCTTCTTTATTTTCCTTCCTTGCAATGGTCTTTTATTTCCTCATCCTCCAAATGCAGGACTGTAGAGCTCATCTGTATTTTCCTCCTTGGAATGGTCTTATATTTTCTCATCCTCCAAATGCAGGGCTGTAGAGCTCATCTGTATTTTCCTTCCTTGGAATGGTCTTATATTTTCTCATCCTCCAAATGCAGGGCTGTAGAGCTCATCTGTATTTTCCTTCCTTGGAATGGTCTTATATTTTCTCATCCTCCAAATGCAGGGCTGTAGAGCTCATCTGTATTTTCCTTCCTTGGAATGGTCTTATATTTTCTCATCCTCCAAATGCAGGGCTTCAGAACTCATCCATATTTTCCTTCCTTGGAATGGTCTTACATTTCCCCATCCTCCAAATATAGAGCTTCAGAATTCCTTTATTAATTCTTATTTATGCATAATGTAATTTATTCTTTCAGCAGGCAAATGCAATGCAAAATATATAGCTATTCATTAATTCAAGAGTGATAATTTCCATTTTTGCATTCATTACTGAATTGATCCCTTTTGATTTCTTATATATATATATAAGCAATTCATTTTATTAGCAGGCAAGTTTTGAAATAATTCAAGCCCTGGATTTATTTAAATAAAGGTTGGTGTTGAATCACTTATATAAAACCTGTTTATCTCAAATTATATCATCTTTTTAGACAAGTGTTTTTATTGTTGCTAGAAATAGCGTATTTAATATATTAGGTTATTTATTTTAAAATAAAAATTCTAGTATATGTTTTATTTAAAGTTTACATGATAGATTAATGAAATCTTTGATGCAAATGCTAGCAGCTGGGATGAGAAATTAGTTTAAAAGTGTAAAGTTATTATTTCAAGTTCATTTACATGCATATATAGTTTATAGTACATTTTGTTGGGACAAATAAATAGATATTTAGCTGTACCCTAGGTGAACCATATGTTTACAATTATAGGTTATTCAAACTCATTGAAAGGAAAATAAATTGAAATAAAGCCATATAACATCTTTAATAATATAACAAAGTTTAATTTGATGTCTGGCAATCTTTAATAAAGTTATTATGTTCAACTTGCAAAACAAATTGTTGATAATAAATACCATCAATAAAGATATGAAATCGATACATCTACTTGACCTCATACTCCTTTGAGAACAGAGCTTTCAATTCTGTATTTGTTATTATAAATCACATGGAAGAATTTCAACCAATCATGCACATTTTGTTTTGTTCCATCTTCTCTTCTCTCCACAGGTATTATAATTCAATTGCTATGACATGGAGTGTCAATAAAAGGTATATGTAAAACATTTAACATTGAAATATCAAAGTGAAAAATTAATGAAATTCTGTTTAACTGTCTAAAATTATATTATAATCGACATTTAATCTATTCATTCTTGACTGATCAAAAAATCTTAAAAAACTATGTCAAGGGTCTGCTGCATAGGAAAAATCAACTTGTTAGATTGTCAACATCTTTTGAACACTTACACTTCGAGTCGTGATAGCCACATCCACTTTGTCTTAAATGTTGGTACCTAAGCCACAACAGAAGGTAAGCCCAAATCGGCTTGGTAATTATCATTAATTTAAGTTGGAAAATAATTGTATTGTATAATATATTGTTTTGGGTTTGCCATTGAATAATTTACAATATTTATTGACATTTTGAAATATAGCTTGTGCTTTGCTTCATTATGCTTCTTATGTACTTGTCAAGTAGATACATGGGATCAAACCAAGTTTCTTTTATGTTATTTTGGCTTCTTCCAGCTGAATTCTGATGACAGTGAAAGGATTTTTTTATTTCAAGGGTAGGGGGCAATTAGTTAAATGAAATATTTTTTATTAGTGGTCTTTTTTCTTTGAATGGAAACATACATATATCGAGTGTCCCGAATGTATCGAGTATTTTCTTGGCAATGGATAGCCGAATTCTTTGAACATTTTTATTGGCAAGTGCTATGAATATGAAAGAGATCGGTTAATAGAGAAATACATGTATTCAAGTATTGTCAAATTAAAAACAGCATGCCAAAAATATCCAATATCAACATAAAAGTCACCCATTTCAGTCTGAAAGAAGCCATTTTTCCAAGCAGAGTTACTTTGTATATTTCTTCCAACAATGTTGCCTCCCATGACATAGTTAATCCAGTCTTTTGGTACATGTTGGATGTCGTGCATTTTTGTGCGTAAATCCTTTCACTACATGGCACACAGACAAGCTATTTTGAGACTTAAACTGATTGACAGATGCTATTAACTAATAGCTGGCACAAAAGCTATGAAGATCTCATTACGCAGCTCTGATATTGGATTTTTTGACACATTTTTTGAATTTGTCATTACTCACAAAATATGTAACCATTGTATTTGTTTCACTTACTAATGATACCCTAATATGCTACTTTTCAATAATTTCCAATAAATTCATTGGAATGAAAAAAGCAGTTCAGTTTTATTGGGACACCAGATACATATATAAGTTCAGAGTACTAACCATTTTTAAAGCTACCAATGCCAGTTTGAAGTGCTAATCAACTTTTTCAAACCGAAAAATTAACAAAAAAATAAGCAACCAATGCCAGTTTGAAGTGCTAATCAAATTTTTCAAACCGAAAAAATTAACACAAAATTATTTTTTCACAGTACGTTCATCACTCTATAATTTACATCCCTGGGGTGGACAGAGAGAAAAAACAGCAACTCTAATGCTATATAACCATGTTCTCGTGTGATAGGGTTTGCTTAAGGATAAACACAACAGTCACATGAAGTACTTCTTGAGTCCTTTCAATTGAAAGCTATTACAATTGGGTCTCCTGCCAATTTGTTAAGTGAACCCTCAATTTAAAACAAAGTGATAACATTGACTTTACATATGTAGATACAACAGTACAATGGGTTATTAAGGTAAGTGAAAAGGGCTTTTAAATTGCTAAATGTATGACTTCTAATTTGTCTAATAATTCTGTATTTTTTATCTTGGTTTGTTATTTGCATTGATTCTGAGGGTAAGAGGATTACATTTCTCTTGCATCTGAAATGCCAGCTTAAAATATATAAGTTCAATTTTCTGTTTTCAATTTAAGGATCAGTAATCTAAAAGAAATGTGTAGCTGATATTTTTTGTGATTGTTAATGAGATTAGGCTGCCTCGGAAGAGCCAGTTACTAAAAGTTTGTAATAACTTATTCAGTTCAAATTTCTTCAAGATATTTTATTTGTAATGGTGACATATTTTTAAAGTCTCTTACTTTTTGTGGATGGTGTCTGGTGTTTGGCAGTCAGTGTTTGGCTTTCGGCAGTCCACATTTGTAACAAATGGCAGGTGGTGACATTTTGCATGTTAATGCCTCGTTTTTTGTCTGAGGTGGTTGAAATTCTCTTTTGATCTATCAGTCTTATTAATAATAAACATGGTGATATATGATTGTTTATCTACATGTATATACAGTATAGATGAAGTGCTAGACCAAAGCATAATCTTGAAATTACATATGCTGTTCTTTGATAAATGTCGACACTCCTGAGCGATACTCAACACTGTCTGCATAAAGGTCAACTTTTGGATCATTTTCATAAAAATGTGACGTGTATTATACTTTCAAATTGAAACCGTTTGTCTGATATTTTATAATGGAGGAAATGAATTGCATATATGCAACAGAAACTTAACTCAAAGGTTAACTGACATCAAAAGACTTTAGTTACCAAAGAAATAAATGTGTTACGTATTTAAATGAACGAGGTTTTGATTTACACGAAAAACTACTCATTCTAAAAGCCTATGATTGTTTAAAAAACATTAACTGACCATATAATGAACAGTGCAAACATTTGAACATTGAGTTACAGTTTTAATTTTGGTAAGTAGAACAAGTTTTGAGGTTATCAGCAATAAAAGACGAGATAAAGAAGTAACAGTTGTAGTTTTCTTCACCATCCTGGTCAGTTAGGCTGGGTAATCATAGAGATATCTACCTGGATGTCTGAGAATTAGAGGTGCACATACATAGCATCAACACTCTCATTCAGCATGTATTGAAATAAGCAGCATTTAGTTTATGGATTATATGACTGAAGTTTTCATGGCCTTGTTATGAGACATACAGGTTAGTACATATACAGAACTGTTAAGGAATCGTAACACTAGTCTTCGTTGAAGATTGTGGTTACAAAAGTTGTTCATATTGTTAGGTGTATAGGTTTAGAATAGGGGCATGCAATGGAATGAAGTGAGAAAAAAAGTTTATTTTTTTCTTTGAAAATTAGAATAGGTGTTATATTTTATAATGTATTTTATAATTGCTTTTTGATGTTAGCCTGACAGCTGAATTAAATTATTTCACTAAATCTGAATATGATAGACTACTTTTTATGTTTGACTTACAGCAAACAATAAGGACTATACAAGAGCTAGGTGTTTGATTCTTCCAACATTTAACTCTAAACACTGACTCCATTTATGATAAAGAAGTTTAATATATACACATATCTTAAATGTCAGTTAGTTTTTAATGAATATGAATAATTTCTTTTGTACACATTTTTTTTAATGTACTTGTAGAATGAAGAGCCATTTTGAAGGTCAAATGACTTCTGAAACATATGAATAAATTGAATTTTTTACATAATTTTTTATATAACTTATTTAATAGAACAAGCCATTTTGAAGGTTAGGCCATAAGAAGTAGATTCTTTGTTTTGCGTCCCCTTGCTTGCACGATTTTAAGTAAATCAGAAAAAACAAACACATCCAAATAGCAATCAAAAGGGTCTGAAAGTACCATCGCCTTTCGTTCAATCAGAATTAGACGAAATGGCAGATAATTTGATGTGCGTCAAAATTGACAGTGTTATAATTACTTTGGCATACATTGTGTATTTTCTTATTTTTTACCCTTGAATAATAGCTATGTTTAAATATATTGTATAAAATGTATAGATATGTGTTTGTAATCACTGCAAATTGGTATGTCATCCTTTTTTATGCCCATAAAATGTATACATTTCCCAGCAAACAAGTTTGTGTTTTTTCTTGAGTTTGTGTTTGTTTTCCTTGTACCCTTGCATGATTTGGATTTTACCAGGACGCAAAACAAAGAATCTACTTCTTATGGCCTTACCTGTTGTTAGTGGAAGATGGATGTTGACATTAATCCCTTCTTATTATTCAATATTGTCATATAATGACATAATAGTTGTAATTTTATAATATGTTGGGGAATGTTAAGGGATAAATAACCTTTTATGATTTGTGCTGCATCGGTGCTTTTGTAAATATAGTATTGGGATTCAGACTAACTTTGTGTTGTAAATCATAGAAAAATGATTCTTTTATTTATGTGACTCCCAGAATAGATGAAGATTTGAATGCCTGTAAACAAAAAAGGAAAGGTCATTGATCGTTGTTGACTCTGGAGAAATTTGAATCTGCAAGTTTTGATTGGTATTGACATGACATTGTATCACTTCAAAAGATTTCCCATACCAATTGCGTTATTTCAAAACAAGAATTTTATTCTGTTGGGTACTAATTTAGGTGGTATTTAAGGCTATGTGTTTGGTAGTATTCCTGAGTAGAATGGTGGGTAGTATGTTGGGTAGAATGGTGGGTAGTATGTTGGGTAGAATGGTGAGTAATGTTTGGTAGTATGTTGGGTGTTATGCTAGATATTATGTTAGGTAAGATGTTGGGTAATACAGAAAATTATTTTTGACATTATATCAGATAATCAAAGTACATCTAATGCCAAGTCTAATTCCATGTTATTTTTTTATCAGAGGAATATTATGGCGAAAATCCAAAATACATCATAACTCATATGACTATATTTGAATATTCATGGTACAAAGGTGCTTTGTATTTTCCATTCATTTGTGGGGTTTCCTAAGCCAAAATGATCCAAAAGGTGAAATCGAATAACCTTAGGTTCTCTGTATTTTCAGGCAGAACCAGCATTCTAGACCCGAACACCGTTGGATGTATCAGTAAATATAGTAAAAAAGCAGAGAAGGGAGTGTTGATGGACAGATGTATGTTCATGGCTAGACAGATGTTTGAAACCAAAGGTAAGCAACATGTTAAACATTATAGTTTTATTAAAGTTGAATGCCTGGAATATGAAGGTTAATGAACTTAATGGTCTGCATCAGATCAGTAGCTCAATTTTGACTTATAGAGAGTAAGGTGTTACAACAGAGGAGTAATATGAATAGAAAAGTGAGTAATATGAAAACAAACGTGAGTAATATGAATACAAAAGTATGTAATATTAATAGAAAAGTGAGTAATATGAATATAAAAGTGAGAAATATGAATATAAAAGTGAATAATATGAATATAAAAGTGAGTAATATGAATACAAAAGTATTAATATTAATAGAAAAGTGAGTAATATGAATAGACGTGAGTAATATGAATATAAAAGTGAGTAATATGAATGTAAAAGTGAGTAATATGAATACAAAATTGAGTAATATTAATAGAAAAGTGAGTAATATGAATAGAAGTGAGTTATATGAATAGAAAAGTGAGTAATATGATTAGAAAAGTGAGTAATATGAATATAAACGTGAGTATTATGTATACAAAAGTATGCAATATTAATAGAAAAGTGAGTAATATGTATAGAAGTGAGTAATATGAATAGAAAAGTAAGTAATATGAATTAAAAAGTGAGTTATATGAATAGAAAAGTGAGTAATATGAATAGAAAAGTGATCAATATGAATAGAAAAGTGAGTAATATGAATACAAAAGTGAGTAATATGAATATAAAAGTGAGTAATTGAAGTTCCAATTAAAGATCTCTTAAATGAAAGAGTTTTATTCAGTAATAAGAAGTGGTGCAAGTCGTAAGTCACCTATGAAAAATTAGATGAGAGTTGACCTCATACATGTTTTTGTCAAAAATTGATCCTCTTACCTCATTGATTTTAGTTCATCTGGTGTATAGGCCATGTAAAGATACACATGAAGTTGCTATATATATAGGAATTAATGAACATAAATTTAGAACAAAATTAAGCTGTTACACCTAGTTTTGTTAATTATCTTAGATTCATTAGCGTTATCTATATTAGTTGATATGCCAGCCAATCAATTGCCAGACAAGATTTTGTGACCAAGCACCCGTAAATGTTAACTTTCAGTTTAACAGATTGAATTTCTTTTATATTGAGTCATGATTGTAAAGGAGGGAAATTCATCTTTGCATATTTTTTAAGCTTTGGAATTGATGTCAGAGTCAAGGTGAAAAGCCCTAAGTTTAAATATGTCTATAACGCATTCAATGCCATGACTAAATACTGCACCACTGGTCATAAGTAATGTATGAATCATGAACTGTAATCATTTCAAAGTACATATACTCATCAATCATAAGATCTTTTAAATGGAATATGAACTGTAGAATATTTTAGTCAAATATACAGTGAATCCTGTTAAGTGGAACACCTCTAAAAGTGGAACACCTCTGTTAGTGGAACACTTTTCAGAGTCCCAACACCAACTTACTTAATGTTAAATTAACCTTTTTATAAGTGGAACACCTCTCAAGTGGAACACTTATATAGGTTTTACTGTACAACTAAATAAATAAAGAGCTAGTTAGGTTATTAGGCATTTACATGTTAATAAATATATCAGCATCTCAGTTTGGACATTTACATGTTAATAAATACATTATAAGGCATCTCAGTTTGGGCATTTACATGTTAATAAATACATCAGCATCTCAGTTTGGGCATTTACATGTTAATAAATACACCAGCATCTCAGTTTGGGCATTAACAATGTTAATAAATACATCAGCATCTCAGTTTGAGCATATACATGTTAATAAATACATCAGCATCTCAGTTTGGGCATTAACAATGTTAATAAATACATCAGCATCTCAGTTTGGGCATTTACATGTTAATAAATATATCAGCATCTCAGTTTGGACATTTACATGTTAATAAATATATCAGCATCTCAGTTTGGGCATTTACATGTTAATAAATATATCAGCATCTCAGTTTGGACATTTACATGTTAATAAATACATCAGCATCTCAGTTTGGGCATTTACATGTTAATAAATATATCAGCATCTCAGTTTGGACATTTACATCTTAATAAATATATCAGCATCTCAGTTTGGGCATTTACATGTTAATAAATACATTATAAGGCATCTCAGTTTGGACATTTACATGTTAATAAATATATCAGCATCTCAGTTTGGGCATTTACATGTTAATCAATACATCAGCATATCAGTTTGGACATTTACATCTTAATAAATACATCAGCATCTCAGTTTGAGACCCAGAATATGAGGCTCACATTACATAAATTCGAAAAATTAAGATATTATGAAATTGAATCATCGTTTAAACACAATAGATGTCAACACAATGGAGTTTGTAAATGCTGACATTGCATCACATCGTGCATTCTGATGAACTTCATACATGCAACTTGGTGATACATGCAAGGCTCATGGTCATTTGACATATGGGATATGAAGTTTTGAGTCCGATAACAATCTTGGAAACTACTTACAACTGGCTCTTAGTTTAATAAGCATGATATTTCAGAAAAAACATCACGCACCTAGTTTTAGGCACCTGGAAATTGTTTATAATATATGGTACTCATATAGCCATATCTAATCATAACATGGTCTTAGCAAGACCTCGACATATTTATTCACTTTTTTGTTTGGAATATTAGTCAAAAAAATTATGGCACTACAATTCACACTGTAACTGTAAATCATTTCCTGTTCAAAATCACAACACAAGAGGTGCATTTGAGAATAAATAATTTCACATCAAAACTGTAGAATTGTATGTATTGGTCAGAGGATAGTGTGGCAAGTTGATGTTGATGCCTGGTATCAGTCAGTATCCATAGTCACAAGTGTAAATTATTAGAATATGCAATATGATCATTTTAATGATTTGATAATTGGACCTAAGATTTTATGAAATATTTAAGAGGCCTTTTGCCACAGGAAACACTTTCAAGACCTCATTTGACTTTTTTTGCATTTTGAGTTTTACCACATATTCACCGATCTACAAACCATCAAAGAAGTCACAAATCTGCCACTTTATGTGCTAATTTTTAGGTGCTTATATTTGTCAAAATTTAGTTAATTCTAAAATTGGATTACACAAGGGAAATCCATATGTCATCTGCCTGGCCATTAAATTTGTTAATCATTATGGTCACATGACCAAGGGAATTCCATAAATGGCAGTTCTAGAAATTCAAAAAGAAATTCAAAACAGGTCCTGAATCTGTTTGTCTGCCTGGTTCAAGTCACGTGATGACACTCATGCCACTTGATGGAGATTTCTTCGATTGCCACCAACTCAATAATATACGCCACCATAAGTGTGTCTCAAGATATAACTTAAGGTATGTAAGATATTATATAAACAATAATAATGATTATGATAATCATTGATTATCTAGGAAAGGGTACCCAGGAGTGAAACCTATGGTATACTGCATCTTTAATGTCCAAGTCTTTTGGTTTTATAAGTTACATATTTTAAGTTTTGTAAGTTACATATGAATTAATAAGAAATATTTATAAGGGTTATTGAACTAGGAGCCCTGAAATGGTTCATTATAATGCCAAGTATCATGCAGTAAACATTGGTAAACAATTGCTGATTTTTTAAATCAAGAGAATTCAGGTTGTAATTGATTTGAAGTAATTTAAAGAAAAAATTGAGGTTTTAGAAAAGGGAAATAAGGAATAGATTTCGGAGATGCTTGGTCAAACCTTGCAAGCCCTTGGTAAACGTTTCTGGTTGAATTCCTTTTTGTAATAAATCTTTTACAAAATTTGAAAAGAATTAAAGAACATGATTCAATGAATTGTGAGTAATTTGATGCATTCATCTCTTGTTATCTAGCCTTTGAATTCAGGTAGTTCCTACCCTCAACCAAAGTCTGAAACATTACATTCATGCTTAAAATCATCCACAATATTTATTGAGACCTGAGCTTAAGTCCTTTACTTGTACATTTTGTGACGTGCATGCACCCAATATTTAACATGATAAGATGTTTAATTTGTTTTTGTTCTCTCCAAATCAATGTAATGTTGTTCCTCTATAGATTAATAATTGTAAGCCTTCAAATTAAGTTTAGATCAATGACAGATGAAATGTTAGATCATGAGGTTATCTTTTTATAAACATTATTTATACAAACTTATTGATTCAGAGATTTTTGTTTTTTTATTTCTTATTTATGTCTAGATTTCTTATGAGGGTAAACCTATGTTAATGATCTCCCTTAGTATGATACGCTCCCTTGATTTCTGCATTATTTAAAAAGTACCCCCTGAAACATTCATTTTTAATTCAGATTCTCAATGATATGTCTAAATATTGGTTTCATATATCAACTTTAAGTAACTTTTTATCATTACACTTTATCTTTCATATGATATATGTCTCAACTGTTACCTCAGATTAAACCCTAATAAAACGTGTGTGTACCATGCTATCATTGCTTATCAGTGATGTATGAGAATGTTAAATCTTTCGGAAATCATTATTTTTATTATTTAAAATATATTACTGACATCTTATTTGGCTTGAACATTGCCTTGTTTTGTTGGATATATGTTTTACATGTTCATATTTTACCAAACTCATGTTCACAAGAAATATACTTTCTTTTAACTCAGTTTATTTGGCATGTATACAAATATAAAGAGATTATACTGTCTATCATATACACATGTTTATATACAGTTTATGTAATAAGAAGTAACGAGTAGTCTTTTTGTATAGCCTTGGGTATTGTGTATAAGTCTCAGGTAATATTTATATATTTTTAACATTATGATAAAATTAAACCAGTAAAATAGATTTCACTTGGATTAAATTAGAATAAATATTATTATTGATGGTCCTAGCCCTTCTTACAGATGATTAAAGAATAATAAGTATACTCAATCTGTCTATTTTGTGAAAAGATAAATATCCATGATAGTTTAAGATATATCAAAAAGATATACTGTGTGTCATTCATTCTTGCTAAGAGTGTCCTA